GGTTTATTAGATTAAGGGTCACTTAATCTAATAGAAAATATTGGTGGATTTGTTTGTTAGCTAGTTATGTTTAATTAGTAACTTCTTTTTTGTGTTTATCTTCATTATGTTACGTTGGTGACAACATCTGGACTGCTTTGCGATTGGTTACAGCTCTGACTTTAGACCCTTAGAATCTTTAAAAAAAAAAAAAAAAGAAGAGTGAGAGCCTAAAAACTGTTATATGCTGGATGTTCTAAGAAGTTCCACTGCTGTTCTATAAGTTACTCAGCACTTTTGACCCAATACTTTGGTACTTCTACTTAAAGGACACCAAGTAAACCTTCATTTTCCTTGCCAGTTCACATATAAATTTACATTAAATTAAATTACATTAAACATTAAATTAAAGCCACATCAAGACCACAGAAAGCCACAGCAGATCACATTGGCTTGAATTGATAATGTTACTAGCCTATTTTTTTTCTTCACCTGTTATCTTCCAGCTCGAAAAGATCGAGTTTGTGGGAAGAGGTTGTAAACTGGTTCCAAGCATGATAAATGTTGTTGAAAGATTTGTTTCATCAAATGTAAACGAGTAGAGTGTAAAAATAACTTGACCTTGTTTGTATACTTTTATACACAGCAGTACAATGATGACCCAAACCCCTTCCCTGCATACATTCTGCTTAGTTACACACCGCACAGCCCCTCCCCCAACCCCCACAGACTTGACCAATGTCTTTTTGTGTAGGTTAAAACACACAATACAAAAACTGAATTAAAGCACCCCCCATTCATCACAGATGTTTTTCGCAGAGCTCAAGGAAGTACATTAAACTGGGGGGAAAAAGAGTAAAACTTGTCTCCTTTAAGTTGTTGTTTTTTTTTTTTTTGGGAAAGTACTTTTACTTTCACTTGAGTCAGTATTTTAAGTATAAACACTATGGATTTAGGTTGGTGTATGGATTTAGGCTATTCTACCCACCTCTGAGTGGTGTACATTTAAAATACCTGTAAGAGCAGGAAAAGCTTGTCTGATTACAATGTGAAAAGACATCTGCAATTTTTTTAGATTTTCCATTTCAAAATACCCCTTTATACTATTGGTTATTACACAGTACTATGCAGGTTTCAGAGATGGCCCTTCCATTTATTTAATTTCCAGTTAAAACAGCCATTACGTACACAATATTAACCTTTTAGGGTCAGAATAATGCAGAAAACATTTGAATAGAAAATTTGAATAACTTTAGTGCGTCAGCATTTTGCCTCTATTATAGCCTCTATTTTTTTCAGGAGACTTGCTTTCAAGTTTTTTAAGCCCCTGTTCAGACTTGGTATTAACATGATCTGATCATAAGTGGACAGTGAGATGTGTAGTTGTTCACAGCTGGCATTTCCATGTGTCTTGAATGCGTCTCCAGTGATTGGATTTTGTGACTGGAGGCATGGTGCCACCCATATTCACTGTCTCTTGTGCATTTGTTGTCAGACAAAATGTGGACCATATGGATTGCTAACATGGTTTGTAAACAAATGGCAGAGGTGGCGAAAAATGAAGCTACACAGATGCTTTCCTCTCTGCTGTGATGATGCACCTGATAAAGGCGGTCTTTCACCATATTAAGACACTTTAGCATTCACTCTGTAATTGTTATCAAAATTATATTCAATGATCTCCAGGACGCATTTGGACCCGGATTTCTTTCTTTAATGCTGATTTTTCTGTAAAGCTGCTTTGTGACAACACCAGTTGTAAAAAGCGCTATATAAATAAACTTTGCTTGCATTGCCCCCCGCTGTCCACTTACGATCAGATCACTCAGGATGCATGTTAATGCCAAGTGTGAATGGTGCTAAAGGAATCTACAATGAATCTACAGTACATTTTTTCACACCTTCAAAGTTCAGTCTTAGAAGTTTGCATTTTCTGTTGCTCACAATCCAATTCATTCTAATGATTTTGAGGCCTGGGTGGTCAGTTCATAGTTCTGAGAACACCAGCAGCTTCTTTGTTTGGTTTGCAAATTGTCTTTGTTTTCTTGGCAGCTGCATATCCTTTCAGATCCATAGCATTGTGTTTCACTTTTAACAGTGGAAGGATGGACAGAAACACTTGTAGCAAGAGTGAAGTTCCATTTTCTAAACTCTAGTTTTGGAAACTCATTTTCATTTTCACTTCTGGAGTAGCCACACAAAAGCCTAAGGTCACTATGCTCAATGCTAAGCATCAGCTAGAGGAGTATAAAGCCCCCCAGCTTTGGGCTGTGGAGCAGTGGAACTGTGTTGTTTGATATGATGGTGCTCCATTCAAAACTTTTGGGGTGAGCTTGAGTGGTGTTTGTGATCCAAAACTAATTATCCAACATCAGTACCTGACTTTACTAATGCTCTTGTGGCTGAATGCAATTAAATCCTCACAGCAATGTTCCAGCATCTAGTGTAAAGCCTTCCCAGAAGAGTAGAAGATGTTACTGCAGCAAAGCGGGGACAAACACCCTATTAATACCCTCAATATCAGAAGAAAGAATGGGTGGGCAGGTGTCTACAAACTTTGGGACATGTAGTGCATCAGTGAGATAAGCCGATGATCAGTGTCAAACTGTCAGACTACGGACCGATTAGACATGTACAGGATGTTTGATATGAGAACATGGTATGTAAGAAGCTCAGCAGGAGTGTAATTTATTCAATACTATATTAACGTAATTTCTTTCAAATATATTTGAAAATGGTCCGTTGACCCAATTTCACAAGTATACTTGTGAAAAATGAAGGTTTTTAAAGTGGGCTTATTCATCCTGTATTTAACGTCACTTCTGTTCACTAAAGTAGACCATGCTGGCTTTATTTAGCACTCAGTCACATAAGGAGCAATTCTGAAAAACTCAGCAGGCAAATTTAGTGCTCTACTTTTGGCAGATTCATCTAGTTTCTTTCAATGAGCCTTAATCATGGGAGGAATTTTTGGGGGGGGAATTTTTTTCTCATGAACCAGGAACTGGTTCAGGATGTTTCAGTATTCCAATTGCCAGGGCCTTTATAATAGGAAAACAGAATTTTCCTGCTTTTTTGAAATAAAAGAGTTTGACTTAATATGTAAACACAAAACATACCGTTCACTTTCAATTCATTGGGCCATCAAGCAGCAAAAAAGCCTGTTTTGAATGAATTGTTGGTAACACTTTACCTGAAACCTGCTACATAGTATAGGAGCCTATAGAAACAAGTGAGGCCATAATTTCGGTTCAGAAACTGCTCTTTATTTCATGACCAAAGCAGAGAGGCCGCTGCTTTAACTAACCCCACAGGGAGAGGTCACCATCAGCCAACTACTTCCTCTTAATGATGAGCACACAAATCCCACTAACTGACCCCACAACCCTGTCACAATAACACATAAACAGCACATATAACAACAACTTAAACCAATGAACAACACAACAACAACAATAAACAGCTCGTTCTTACAGGGGGTGCGTGCGCCCCATGAGCCTCTTCCAGTCAAACCCTCAAAACCAAGCTTCCACGCTAATGAAGGCAGTGCGCTCCCGTGGCAGCCACCACAATGTTGACACAACCATGACATAAAATCTCATGGCAGATGTCTTATACTGTCAAAACACATTTTATTCAGTGATGTAACAGTGTCATGTTCAGTAAGTGTTAATTGTCATGGGAGATGTCATAATGTTTGGAGTCTTGGCAGCTAACTAAGTACACATAGCAAAAATCAGCATGTGTCTTAAGCTGTCATGACATCTAACATTATGGCATCTGTTCTGCCGATGGCTGGTACTGGTAAAAACACACTGTTTTATTAATGAACTGTATCTGTTATTTATTATTATTATTATTATTATTATTATTATTATGTTATTTGTTAACAGCTCATGACAACCAAACAGAACAAATATCATTTACATCTTTAGCTCTACATAGTCTAACAGCTAATCTCCTCTTTTTTTGTATTTGATACAATTTTGATAAAGAAGAAAAAAGACCAAAAGACCAAATGACCAAAGAATCACAACCAGCGAAAATGTAATCAACAAAAAAGCTTTGCAGGGCTGCCACTGCTCTGTTAAAAAAAAAACTCTATAAATGTACTTTATAATATTGTTACACCCCTAGGTCATAGCATTCTCATTTTCATTAGCCAAACACATGGCAAAGAAATCCTCACTAGTGCAGTTCACCCTCAGCCTGCAGTTTGAGTCCAAGCAGTGTCACCTGCCCTTTAACACATGTCTTACTTATCAACACCTTACATAAAAATGTCAGTTATTTCTCTATAATTGCATATATGTAAGGTAAAGGTAACACTTGTAACAAATAAAACAGATTTATAGACAGGTTACTGCTAATTGGCTAGAGGTGGGTGAAGTGATGGATATGTCCAAAGCCTCACTGACAGGGAAAACGAGCAAGAGTACAACAAGACATTGGCACACACCTCCCTGGCACACAGCACCACCATAGCTTAATTGTATCGGTAGGTACTTCTAGCTGTCATCATGATTTCCACCGTTAGCTTTTTCCTACTCGGTCATGAAGGGCTTGAACTTTTTCATGTGATTAAGTGAGGCATGTCATGCTCGGTTTTCAGTTAGTGCATGGTGTTCATTTACAAAAGGGTGGTGAGAAAGCTCAAATAAGCATTCGAGAAAAAAACAGCATGAGTAAACAATCATCAGCTAAACCTGATTATATATTAGCTAGTTAGGTAGCTAAGAAAAAAATGGTCACTGTACTTAGTTAGTTGGTAAATGTTACACAGCTAAAGGCTGCAAGAACAGGCTGAATAGGAGTGCAAGGATAGTTGGTGTCCGGCCAAATGTGGTAGGCTGGTTGGGACACAAGTCCAGGGCTAATTTCTGATCCCTGTCCATCCTTGCCTGATCTTACAGTTTTTCTTGCATGTCGGTCTGTTCTACATAAAGTTACTCAGATGTTTTAAACTGCTCTTTTGATAAATATGTTTGTGTGTGTGTGTGTGTGTGTGTGTGTGTTCTCAGGTTCCAGCCAGTGGGGCTCGTGGAGCGGATTCAGGCCATCGCTCAGAATGTATCTAACATGGCTGTGCGTGTGGAGCAGATCCTGCAGAAGAGTAAGAACACTGGCAGAGGTGCCTATACTAACCCAGTCACCACTTAAAATCCAGTAAAGCCTATTTAGTATCCTACCATTAATCAGGGTTGGGATGTAACAGAGTACAAATATTGGAAATACGTATTAATACAAAAAATCTGTGTCTGTATTCAGTCTTTTGAAAAGGTTGTATTCAGAATACAGTTCCTTTTTACATTTTTAGGAAAATACTTTTAGAATAAATACCCACTAATTAAAAAAAAAAACATACAATATTCAAAATAAATACCATCAATGCGTGTATGACTATTAACTATGGCATGTAACAAGCGTGCTTGTTAGCTGAATTCTAAAGAGGACCTCAATTAACCGCCTTTTTACAAACACTGATGTTCCTACTAAAGCCTGAGTAGACTGATAAATCAAAGGGAAGATCAGCTATTAATGTCAGTGTTTCTGAGCTCTTTTAAAGGGGGTGATCAAACTAAAAGTCTCCTCAGTAGTGGACATGTTTGTGAGCGATAAATCTAGCATCATTGTTGTACTGTACTGCCTGAGGGATTGTGGGAGCAGCAGTGGACTGAAACAGGTGGTAAGAGAAAAGAGAAAAATGTAATTTTTTGGAACTGAACAAAATTTTAAGCAAAATTTCCATGAAACGTATTAACAGAATAATTACATGAAGAAAAAATGCCAACAAGTAAAAGTGAGGAACAGTGTGAATTAAGGGAAAAAAGGAAGATTTTTCCATTTGTCTTACCAAACTAAATACATTTAGTACAGCTCAAAGTATTTTGCCCAACCCTGTCATTACTACTCCCATTACCATCCTACTGTAAAAAACCTTACACTGAGATGCCAGTTCATTGGGTACACCTACCTTAGGTACACCCACCATATAGGTAAACTGTTCAGGTATATAACTACAGACTATGGCAACAGACTGTAGACAAAGCCACCCTTTACCCAGTCCACAAACAGACAGGGACCACCACAGGGCCACTGCTGTTTGGATGGTGGACAGGTGGTAAATGGGATTTTTGGATCAGGAGGTGCCACATTTTCCATGTATGAACAATACTGTTCAATTTATGTGATATTATAAGAAGGTCACAGCACTGATAACATAAAAATGTTTATCAGATTTGGCATCAAAGTTTTTTCAAAATATGATCTGACATTCTTTTCTGACAAAGACAAAAGTCAAACTAAAGTCATTGAACAAGTAAAACTAATCATTCCAAACAGTAATGCCATCTATCTGACATCAAGAACCCCTTCTGACCTTTTTAACTGTTTGCTTAGAGCAGCTGCTTGTTTTTAAGAGACTAGTGGTACAGACAACTCAGTTTATCCTGGAACACTTGCGAAATGGTTCACCTCTGTGCAACTTTTTACTGCCAGATGTTCAATGCCATCCAGTCAGATTAGGAGACCTGCTTCTCAAACTGCCCCAGTCGACTGACTGGGGAATAGGCCTACTGTATGAATAAATGTTTGATTTAGCTTTCTCAATCATGATAACTGTATCTGGCTGCGCAAACCCAGCTGGATACCCACCCGATAGAATGTTTTGAAATTACTTTGGATTTAACAGGAAAGAATAACAGCAAATAATCTAGGCCAGGGTTGTCCAGTCTTTTCTGCAAAGGTCCGGTGTGGCTGCAGATATGTTACGCTGAGACTAATTGAATAAATAAATAGAATCTTCTGCTTATTTGGAATGAAAACCTGCAGCCACACTGTTCCTTAGTGGATAAGACTGGACACCGCTGATCTAGGCTACTTAGCCCTTTAGGCCCTCACAGATTTCTAGAACACTCTTGTGAATTCTCAACATTTTTACGATTTAGGGGCTTACTGATCACTGTTTAAAACAAAACACTTTATTATACAATCAGGTAAAAATGACAATCACAAGAACTCTCTCCAGCTCACAATTTCACAAAGCCTTCCTGTAACTTTGAATGAAACTGAACTGATGGCTGGATTAAGAAATATAACCAGCAATTACAAAAAGGAAAATGAAGTGGATGACGCTGTGCATCTTGAACCCACTTCCATTTCATGGCTGCTGTCTAGGTGAACTGATATCTCATCAGTCTCTGTATCTGATAAGCAGAATACTTTTGACTGCTGTAAGTCTCTGCCTCGCTGAAGGATGTGCAGAACTTTTTGTTACAAATTGAAAACTGGAAAGTTTTAATAAAAAAACTAAATATCTAAGAGATCGGAAATGTAATTTATGTTAAATATCGCTGTTTATCTCGTCTTCTATCAGAATTCACCTTATTAATTCATAGCCATTTGTGAACCATTACACCATTAAAGTGAAATGCAGAACAGCCAGTGGAGGCCTTTGTGTGGTCTAGAGTGGGAGTATTCAATTAAAACAGGCAAAGGTCCAATTACATCAAATTACTTACTTACAAAGGTCTGAAAATACAAACTAGCATACATGAATGTGACAACAGTTACCCTTAAACACTTAACCATTAATAATTAATGATGCAACTATTAAAAAAAAATGACAACATATATTTGATAAACTTTTATTTTTAACATACTTTTATAATGTAATGAGCATTTTATAAGAGTATGACCACTGGCAATCATTTTTGCTGTAAAAAAAAATATACATATATATCGACATTACTTTTTTTAACAAGCCAATGTTGTCCCTTCACTACACAGAGCAGAAATAGCAAATTCAATTAAAAATCTATGAACATATGTGAAAATTTTCTCTTTCTAATCTGATATCTTTGTTCTGACTAGCTGTCTTTAGCTAAAGTTGTTTACATGAACACGTGATTGGATAAACTGTGACACAGGACTGCGCGTGTTCATGTTTGTGTCTGAAATATGAGTGTTTTTAAACATTTATTAATGAGCTTTGTTATCAGAGTTTTTTTTTCAAGTGATTGGTTTGGTCTGCTGTAGTACTTTTCTGGATCTGCTTCTGGAGTATAGTCCTTCAGTTGATGACCCCTGGTCTGGTGGGTTAAAGGTTGAGGCATAATGAACAAATTTCATAATGAACAGGAGGCAACATTTTTAATGTAGTGACATGATTATGAAAATCAGTAAATTGAGAAGAGGAGGATGTGCCACTTGGAGGGGCAAAAAACAATCTTGAGGGGTGGTGAGCGAGAATGTGTGTAACTGTTTAGATGTTATCTGTCAGTCTAATAGTGCAGTTTATCACAGGTAAATGGATTTCAAGAAGATTGCAAAGCCGTGACACCATCATGGTAGCACTGCTGGGGATTTTAAACACCTCAGTGTCATTGCTGAGTTGACAAGAGTCCATTAAACCCAAAATATCCAGCCAACTGTGGCCTTGTGATCAGAAAATGACCACTTATAAAGGGCTAGAAGACACCTAACACACATTGTGTATGGAAAAAGATCAATAGCTATAGTCTGTAACTGTCAGAGGTGTTGACTAGAGTCATGTGACGAGACTCAAAACAACAAAAATAAAAAAAAGTCTCAAACAGACTCACGAAGTGGAAAAAACATGGAGAGGCTGCTGGTAGACAGCCTTACTACAGTTGTTTACTTTTTCAGGTGAATGGATTTGTGGATTTGTTTCCTGGCCAGAACTGCATCAAATGCAAATCTGATGTGCAGCAACATCGTCAAATGTCTGTTATTACGCTTATACTTGGCTTATTTTATTTTGGCAAACAAGTGAAACATGAAAATTCAAGTTCACGTCTATAAGCTAGAAACAAGCAAAACATCAATAGCAACGGCTAAGCATTTAAGTTAGAGTCTTACAAAACTAAAAATTTTAATATGAAGCCAACTTTAGTTTTGTACATTCACCATAATTTTTCAATCATTTTGCCACTGTTAGCATCATTTTGGGTGTTCATTGTTGAAATGGCTTTAAATTTGCTGAAGAATGCACGTTTGTTTAGGTCTTGAAGTTAGACTCTAGACTTGACTTGTCTGTGATGAATCAAAACTTGAAGCAACGCTTGACTGTCTACACTTGGGACTTGACTCGGGACTCAAGTGTCAAGACTCGAGACTGACTTGTTACTTGCAACTCACTGACTTGTTCACACCTTCTACAACCCATGTGTCAAACACAAGGCCTGTTGGCCAAGTCAGGCCCATGACACAGTTCTATTCAGCCCCCAAAATGATTGTAGTTTTCTATTCTTATTAGCCTGTTTCACCCTGAGATGCACTACAGTCCCCAGCATGCACTGCAACATAGTGTGTGTTCTGACCCCTCCCCCAACAACAATCTATGGGCCAGTGGTTACACAAAAAGAAAAGATGCCTGGTGTCTACTTCAAGCAAATAGGCAGTTTTTGAAAAAAAAAAACTATATAAAACAATTTATTTTTGTTTAGAATTATTTTTCAATCAGTATTAAGTGCCTGTTTTGATGTTGCCAGTTTTGGCATATTTTGAATAAACAGTGACTGTTCAAGTCATAGCGACATGTTGAGTAAAAATGAAATAAAAACACAGCTGGCCCACAGATTTGCTGTGATTTTTTTTTAATATGGCCTTTTTAGTGGTTGAGTTTGACATCCCTGTTCTACAAGGTGTACCAACAAGGTAGGTGTTTCTAATAAAGTGGCCAGTAAGTGTACCAACATGTTCTACTGCTTGAGTTGTTAAGTTACTCCCGTATTCTATCAGATAATTCCACATTGGCTCAGTGTACCTTATTCATAACTTGCTTCAACAGTCCTGAAATTTCCAAGTTTCCACTTGGTTCCACTCTGTGGTTTCAATCTGGCATTGCCTCTGTTCAAATTTGTGGATGCATAGCCTATAGTTGTTTTGAACAGATTGAATCCTTCATTTTTGTTTTCAATATTGACACTTCTTGTTGATGGGATTCACCGAACTGCACCACAGATTTGCATTTCGTTTCTGACAGATTAAGTAATTTGCAAAGGTGTAGTTTGCCAGGATTAGCCATCTGATTAGTCATCAAACTGCAAAAATCTGTGTATCTACCTGTACATATACTTTCAGATTAAAGTTTTTCTGCACTCCATTGGAACATTGTCTTTAATTATTATCACTGTCGCCATCATTACTATAATCACATAGAAACGACCTATAATCCTTTTGTGTGATCACGCTCACTGGAGCTCGACAGCCTGTTGAATAAAGAACAGCCTCCCTCTCTTTCTCTTTCTCTCTCTCTCTCTCTCTCTCTCTCTTTTGCTCCTTTAATTAAGCTAAGCGGGGCCCAATGCTTCACAGAGCAGAGGATTTTATTAATCAAGGCAAGGGGATGCTGGCAATTTCCTGCATTACCCCCACAGACTTATTGCACAGCAGGGAAACGTCAGCCATCAGAGGTGCATTTTAACTAAGACCACAGACACTACCACAGAGTGGTGCCACCAAAAGGGCAAGAATGTGCTTTTATTCCCAAACCAAGTAAAAAGAATTGGGTAGACAAGCGAGGATAAACTCATCCACCCACAGCCTCATTAAAGCTGCCAGAGCTTTTGAGCCCTTTGGCCTTCCACACTAGGACTGTTCTCTCCTGGAGGTGCACTGTCACACTCTGCTTGTCATATCTGCAGGGAGAGACGGAATGGCGGGCCATTGCGAAGTCCCAAAGGATCCTGGGTACCCAGACTGCGCCAGTAAAGTTGATGTGAGTTGTCATGTCCACTTCCACACTCTTTTATAGATTTCTGTCACTGCTGTCCAACGTGTTCATATTCCTTCTATTATTTTCCCAGCAGCACAGTTTCTAAATAACAAAAGAACTGACAAGAGTTTCTTTTAAATCTTTCCATCTTGATCAGCTTCATCCAAAACTGCTAATGTGGACACTAAGGCTGTGTTCACAAGGACATTGTGATTGCTGACAAAAAAGCATCAATATTAGGGGCAGACAGATATAAACATTTTGTGGCTGATACAATACCGACTTTGAGATCTAAAAATTCACCAATGAGCCAAAACATTATATCCACCTGCCTAATATGCTCTTGGTCCTCTGCATGCAGCCAAAACAGCTCTGACCCACTGAGGCACGGACTCTACAAAACCTCAAAAGTTACCCTGTGGTATCTGGCACCAAGACATTAGCAGCAGATCCTTTAAGTACTGTAAGTTGTGAGGAGGAGCCGCCATGGATCGGACTTCATTTCAGCTTATCCCACAGATGCTCGCTCAAATTGAGATGTGGGTAATTTGGGATCCAGGCCAACACCTTAAACTCTTTGTCATATTCCTCAAACCATTCCTGAACAATGTGTGCAGTGTGGTAGGATGCATTATCCTGCTGAAACAGGCCACTGCCATCAGGTAATTGCCATGAATGGGTGTACCTGGTCCAAAACAATGTTTTTGGTAGGTGAAACGTGTCAAATTGACACCCACATGAAAGGCCTTCCCAGCAATCACCCCCCACCTCCCCCAGGTTTCTATTTTTCCCTTAGTGCATCCTGGTACCATCACTTCCCCAGGTAAATGGCGTACAGTGGGCTAGCATGGGCACTCTGACCAGTCCCCAGACCCATGTGCAGCAGGGTGCACTGTGTGTTGTTAAACGTTTTGCCTGTAACCATCACTTGTGCCACAGTAGCCGGTTGTTTCGGACTAGACGGGATAGCCATTGTTGCCTTTGTGTAGCGATGAGTCTTGTCCTGTCACTGCTTTTTGATTTGTCCCTCCTCAAACCACTGTTGGTGAGCACTCACCACTGCTGCCTGGGAGCACCCCCAAAAGCCTTGCTGTTTCAGAGATGCTGCGACCCAGTCGTCTGGCCATAACGACCTGGCTCTTGTCACAGTCGCTCAGGTCTTCACGTCTACCCATTTCTCCCAAGTCCAACACACCAGCTATGAGAACCGACTGTTCACTTACCATCTAATATATCCCAGACCTTAACATGCAACACTGCTATGGGATTATCAACGTTATTTGCTTCGTTATTGAGTGGTCATAATGTTTTTGCTCAGCGGTGTAATTTTATATTTATATTTACATTTTTTATTTTATTCTCCAATAGTTTTAATCAAACAGTGCTTTACTGACAGACATGATTGTCAGTCCTCAATTATAATGCTTCTTATACTCAAAGAAAGAGCAGAAACTTGCACAATAATGTGAACAAAAATAAACACATATTTACAGGCTCCAGTTAACTCAGCGCTTTGTACTCAATATTTCAGTTTGCTAACATCTGATTAGCTTTGTCAACTAGCTAATGCTACTTTTGATTCATCATTAGCAACAGAACAGAACTTTGAAAAGTTCTTTATCATTCACAGAATTCTGATCTTAAACTAAAGTCTAACTCTGCTCTGCTAGTGGATGAGAGCCAGGTGGACGTCGGACCCCTGCTATGCTTTCTATGGAGTAGATGGCTCTGACTGCTCCTTCCTCGTCTACTTAAGTGAGGTGGAGTGGTTCTGCCCCCCACTGGGCTGGAGGAACCACAGCAGCCAACCCACAGTCAGCAGCACACCAAAGAAACAGGTGAGAGACTAACAAAGCCTATAGATGTGTTTCCAAATGGCGGGATGTGGTTCAGAGATGTTGGTTGATTGATATATTTTTTTACAAATCATAGGAGAGGAGTTAAAAGTACACTGGCAATCAAAAAGAATTGCTCAGATGCACCTCTATAAATACATATTTATATGTTACAAAATAAATTACATTTACATTCTGTATCAACAAGCTCAACTTTTCTGTGTTTGTTTCAATGTCAAAGAATTAGAAAAAAAATGCAAAAATGTCCCCAATGTTCACCAATATCATCAAATTCAAATGGAAATAAATACCTTCTCTTTTCTGAGTGAGAAATAGTTGATTATACACTTTGGTTATTGCCAGCAAGAAATGTGAATTTTGAGGTTTAACATTCTCTTTAACATTCCAGGTTTATTTCATACAAAGGTATATTATTCAGTAGCTACAGAGACTTCAGTGCAAACTAATAGAGCTATTCTGAGATTATATAAGTGGGTAATAAAACTGGCGGCCCAAGATTTGTTAAAGGCGTTAAGTGAGAAAACAAGAAGTTGCCCCACTGCTCAAGTAAGGAAGTTGTTTAAAGAGGAGATTTGTGTGATGTCATATGAAGCACAATGACCAAATTAAAGTATACCTGAAGTCATAAATCAAAACACACACCAAAAAAATCTATGTTCTTATGGAACATTCATAATCTGAAAGATTGTTTTTATGTCACTCAAATTCACTCATTCAGATTTGAGGCTTTCTCCTCTAAACTTGCCTCAGTGCAGCATCAGTGAGCCCGAAATGCTGCTGCTTTAGCCTTTTAGCTAAAGGAAAGTACCTTATACTAACAGCTCCACACATTAACACACAGTTTTACCCACTCAGATTTGAGTCTTTATTCTCAGTGAGCTGGAATGAACCTGCATGGTTGTATATAAAGCTTATGCCCTCTCACTAGGCTAATGGTAGCTTCTAGCAAACATGGTTGAATGTGGAATAAAAGTAGCTAACATCTCCACACACAAACACACAGGTTTACCTGCTCAGATTTGAGTCTCTATTCTCTAAACTTGGAATGAACCTGTGCTGTGGTGAAACTGTTGCATGCTTAGCTGCTGCAGTAGAGTGCTTCCCGCTACTAGAACAGTGCCAGGCACCAGTGAGAGGCAGCATGAGCTGCGTCTGAGCTGCAGGGGCCAAGGAGAGCCACTGGAAGCAGCATGAGTCCCGTAATTAACTTTTCACTTCTAGCAGCGAGGCCACCAGACCATAGCTCACGACTGACCCTTGTGGGTTGCCACAGTTCAGGGAACAGTGGGCTGCAGCAACTCTTTCTTCCTCTTGACTCAGGTGCTCGTGCTGCCCTTAAAGAGAGTCAGCTGACATTGGTTTTGCATGGGCAGCGTGGCTTGTCGGCGCCTTGGGGCTCAGTCTTCATGCCGCCTCTCTCGACTCTCGTCAGTGCCTGGCATATCCTCTCATTAGCATATTTTAGTATATGACTGTGATATGTACAGAACCAAGCTGCTACATAGTGTTCTACGAATCGCTTTCATCTGGATGTACTGAGAAGGTTTTTTTTCATGAAAAAAACATGAACTCTTCATTACAGTAACACATCTGATCCAAATATTAGTCTATATAACCACTATAAGCCACCCAAAAGGTGTTAACCATACGAAAATCACATTTTTATGCACATTTTGATTGAGAATGAGGGTTAATGCTGGGAAATGTGTGAAGGAAAATACAGACACTATGGATGGTCTGTAGGCAGCAGTGAAGAATGTATAGAAAGCAATTCCTTTAGATCATTTAACTGTGACGGCATGAAAGCATGATAAAGCAGTGTAAGATGGTCAGAGGTGGGTAGCTAGTTCCATTCCAAATTTTTCATAGATTTATTTAGATTTATTAGAGGACATGTTAACTTATTTTCACTTAGAAAATCAACAAAACATGCCATTTTACCAGAGGTGCCCAAACTTTTGCATATAACTGTATGTGGCAAGGAACATAACATCCCTCATAGACTTTTACCCACAAATTGTGGTCCTATAATTCAAGTCATAACCTTTTTGGCTTCAGTGGCTGGATGGTAATAAAAGAGCTTGGATTTATGTATAATGCCATTTCACATGCATGCATGGCCTGATAGATCAGAATTTATATGACCATCCACACATGAATATGGAGCACTATTGTAAATACAAAGTGCTGATTAAGGTTTTCAGAAGTAACACTTTAATCAGCAAGTTAACTGCTATATTTATGGGGGTTTATTAATGAGGATTAGTGTGCACATGACTGTTTAATTCCATTTCACACAGTAGCAAGAGAGAGAAAGAGAGGGATTGAGTTCATAAGAAAGTCTCTCACTCATTAAAGCCGTTCTCAAAGGGGTTTATGGATATTCACTGTCATTTTTTTACTGGTCAATTTAAAGAGATGAGGTCATAAAAAAAGATGAACACATCTTCATTCTCTTCACGAATTATGGCCCGGAAAACGATTCGTTTTCCGCTTCTCTGCGCAGCAGGTTATTCTATTGTCTCAGGGATAAGCATGAGTTATACAGGACGTGTTGTAGAGACCGTGTTGTGTGCATTGGAGGGAAAGTAGGCCAGGCGGCTGTTAGACTGTTGGAGCAGTAGTCTCAGAGGCAGAAACTGTCTGCAGCTGCAGCGCCTGGGACTTCTGAACCCACTGGCCCTTCACACTCACACACACACACACACACACACACACACACACACACACACACCTCATGCTCACGCACTTCACCGCGGTTAGAGCACTCTTGGCACACAGCCTCATATGGCTGAGATCGACAAAATGCATCTCTTATTTACAAGATGTATAATTGACACCCAGTGCACCTTCTTGTCAGTGGAAAAACAGAACCTTGTTCTTTTCTGTACGTGATACATAAAACTAACCCACTGCTATCTGCATTTGACCCATTTTCAATTTTTTGAAACCTGCCATGGTTACAGCATATTTTCAAGGATCCAGTCCTTGTTATCTTATTAGTACGGCCTGACTGATACAAACTTTTTATAACTGATTTCAGACTAAAAATTCCTATGATCACTTGATATAATTCTATATTTATATATTTTACTTTAATTTTATACTCCAATGCTTTTGTATCATTTTTTTTTTTTTGTATTGAAAACAGTATAATTATTGGATCATTTTAAATTTTTGAAAAAAAAACTGTATTTTGTTGCCATATGGCAACAATATGTGACAATGGAACTGTAATATAATATGCAATGCATGCAGTGGGAGTAAACGAATACACTGTCATAAAATGTGTAGCCACATTCAGTAACACTGTTTTGAGTGGTCCTGTGTAGATGATTAATAAACTCCTTATATTTTTCAGAATATCAGTAACACATCAATGACATATCAGTGAAGTAGCAGCAGTGAAGCATCTAAATACACTGAAGTAAATATCTTGTAGATGTACTGTTGATACATTACTTACATTAAGTAGATGTATTGTTAATATGTTACTTCTATTTTAGGATTAGGGCCAGGGTGAGAGTTAAGTTCTATTACGCAAAACCTAACCTTACCAACCTTACCCACAAGTGCAGAACTTAAACTTAGAACTTAGAACTTAACTCTCACCCTGGCCCTAATCCTAACCCTAATCTTAACCTCAACCTAAAACCTAATCCTAACCCTGGCCCTCATCCTAACCCTAACCTTAACCTCAAAACAAAACCTAATCCTAACCCTCAAGTGTCTTTTCACATTCTTCATCCTGGCAAAATAGACGTAAATGTATTTAAAAATACAGAAAAGCGTTATGATAAGAATTTTATTAATCAAAACATAAATATATATAATGTGAAAATAAGTGTCCAGTGTGTCCAGTGGAAAGTGTTTTTTTATTCATGTTCTATGCATTGGAGTTCCATTGTTACATGCTGTTGCCAAATTGCAACAATTAAACTGGTGGTATTTATGGTTTTCTGATTTTTTTTCAAAGTTGTTGCATATGAATATTTGATTATGCACATGCTTTGTGAAGGCTCTAGAGGCCTTACCATATGATGTGTGTGAAAAAAAGAAGTACAGACTGCAACAGAATCTGATTTTATCTGATCAGATAAAAGTATACCATGTTATTCAGAAATCATTCAATTTCGCAGTAGAAAAGAACAAGAACTTATATTGCAGTCAAGCTAAAAAAGGCATTGTTGCCATGTGGCAACACCATGCAGTAAAGAGTTAAATAATATAAATTTTGTAGCACTGGCTTCCCATAATTCTTCAAGGGTTTCATTTCACAGCTTGTATTGCTGTGTCGTGCATGAACTTGGATTCCCCCTGACACAGTGTGTCTAAGATTTGACCCTATAGTCTGATGTTAAATGTAAAGTTCAATGATGCCACAACCAAAAATGTCCTTAATTATGGATACATAAAACTGCAGATTGTCAACAAACAATATATGCCAATAAAACCAATTTTGATTGAGATGTATAAATGGTTAAAATGTTTTGAAAACTTCACATGTTTCAAATAACTTTTAGATGTGTCCAGAATCATGAACAGAGCCGTAGAGCAGTAGTTCTCAAACTGGCCATTACAGCCCCCCAGATGGATTGAGCAAAAATGTGGACCATCTGGGGGCCCTGAAAACTAGTTTGAGCATCACTGCTGTAGAGGGTTCTAAATTGGCCAAAAAAGCTGTATAATTGCATTTAATAACTTCTTGTTATTCCCTTAAACTATTGAAGAAACATCTACAAAAATCTTCTGTTTCAATCTACTCTGTACAAGTTCTCTCTTTCTGTCTCTCTTTAGGCAGTGGTTCGTTCTGACCTGGGTCCACTGCTGGAGCAAGTGGGTTCAGGGAAGGAGTCTCTGAGCTTCATGAGAAGGAGAATGCGCAGGCTGGCCATGCAGTGGGCCGTCGCAGCTCGCAGACTAGATGAGCGTCTGCGTAGCCGTCAGAGGCAGCAGAAGAGGGTGAGCTAAAAAACTCTCACACCACCTATATGACTGGAAAGGAGCTGGATAGGATAGGCCTTCTATGTTTTGTGCTCTCTTACAGGTCCTGAAGAGCTAAAGAGCTATCTGATATGTGTAAAGTGTAATGGGAATTACGAACGATGCACTTGTTATTGAATCCTCATCCTGGCTCTAGTCCACCTTGGTTCCTCTTGCTCATTGTTGTCTCCTGTGTCTAGTTTAAACCGTGTATCTAATCTCCACCCTAGCCCTAATGATCACTCTGATCTGGCTCCTCAGCTGGTAGGAGTCTTGTTTACATGTCAGTGTCAGTGCTAGGTTGGGTATCCCTCAAACAAAAATATCCAGCTGAGAGCAGCTATGTGTGCTACAAATGGTCATCTTATTCTAATCAGGTCCAGCTACATTCTTATCACTGTTTGTTCACTTGATTAAACTTTAAACTTTAAACCTCTGGATCAGTGTAGCTTCTCTCTTTCTGATGAATCTCTCCTGGGCTTGTGGAGGCCCTGTGGAGAGGCATGTTTGCTCACAACACATTTTCTCTTGCTTAATGGGATTGATTAGGGAACGCATGAGATGAAGACAGGTGTAGATGCAGCTAAGAATGTCTCTGTGGTCAGAAACTGACCACTGATGAAAAGTGAGAGGGTATAAACTGCTCCTTGGGTACAGAATGCTCCTTGAACCAACAACTTGGGCCCGATGGCATGGTGCATTATCCTGCTGGAATATCCCATCATTGTGGGGGCACATGAAGTCCATGAAGGGCTGCAGATGGTCACCAAGCAGTAAAATGGTCAATTACGTGTTTAGGCAGACCAGTGGACCCAACTCATGCCATGAACTACCACCAGCCTGCATAGTGCCTTGTTGACAACTAGGGTCCATGGCTTCACTGTCTGTGCCACACACAAACCCTACCATCAGCCCGAAACAACTGATGCCATGACTCACTGGACCACGCCACATGTTGCCAGTCCTCTAGGGTCCAGTTAGCAACCTCATGAGCTCAAGTAAAAAATGCTGCACTGACCTGCAGGATATGCATTTGGGGTCTCCTGCATTGAATGTGGATGTGATTTCTGCCTGAGTCGCTTGACTGTTTGACAATCCTAGCCAGACGCCAGCGGTCACAATCATTAAGCACACATGGGCAGTCACTGCACTGCCACTGTGGGTGGTATTGCCTTCTATGATGTATTCCTGGTACACATGCGGCACTGTAGATCAAGGAATGTTAAATGTTCACACAACTTCGCAAATGGAATGTCCCATTTGTCTGGTGTCCACTATCTTGCCTCGATCGACTTCCGATAATTCACATCACCTTGCCATAAGCACGCTAGCCAGTGTTCAACCTCACTCACAAGATAACACCTCACAATTTAGACAGGAGTGGGCTTTCCCAAACCATCCCTTGAGGTAACACCACTTCATAATCGATTTACATACTGCTATCCCACTTTTGGCACAGCAGTGTAAGTTCACACATCCCCTACAGAGAACAATCCTCTGCACACTTTAATGCACACTTACTGTTTATCTGAACTTAACGTATATAAAAAAAACATAGCCTGTGCACGTTATGGCACGTAATACATTTTTTTTTTTATTTTTTCCAATATGTTTAACTCAGCAAATAAAAAGAAATTGTGCACTAAAGTGTGCAAAAAGCCATATTTAAGTTGTTATTGGATGTGTTCACTTATTTTCACTTAGAAGTGATGCTGCCTTTATTGTTAAGTGCACTGTGATTGGTATAGTGTAGTGGGTAACATCTCTGTCCTCCATGCCCTATTACAATAACTGTCCTTGGGCAAGAATCCCAACACTATTATTCATATGTTTACTTTCTAAAATAGTTTTTTTATGACGCACACAAGCAAAATAAGAATCTACAATTTTTCACCTTTGTTAGATCATGTTTGTTTTATATAATACATGTTACAACTAGGCCTGTCTTGATCATAAAACATTCATGGTATGAAACCTTTAGTTTAAACTGAATAGCTCACTTGCTTCCTAGCTTCCCATACTTAGTAGCTCCCAACTGATGAGAGTCACAGATTGAGCTCAAATAAACAAATACTCACTGCTGCCCTCTAAAGGTTCTAAAAACAAACATCAAATAAACAAACATTACTCACTGCTGCCCTCTAAAGGTGCTCCAAACATGATATGGCATGTTCGAAGTTAAACCTTTTGTTGTTTGATGTATAATGTGTAGGTATAAAAATGTATTTTCTGCTTGTTTTTTGTATTATTTTGGGGGTTTACAGGGGGCGCTAAGGTGTTAAAACATGCAGAAGTGTGTTTTCTGTAGAGGATGTGTTCATTTACTGTCACTTAGAAACCAACTTAACAACATGTCATTTTACCAGGGGCACCCAAACTTTTGCCTACAACCGTAAGATTACTTAATGACTGAAGGTGCCTCTCCTTCACTGTTGGGTTTCCAGTGTCAGAAGCAGAAGGTCGTCTGGCTCTGACTGCTCCTCACGCTCCCCTCACTGTGCTGTGTGTTTACAGTCTGAGCAAAGCACTGCAGGCTTACAGCTCATTAAACTAAATTAAATTTCTCTCTCACAGTTTGCTTTCAACCAAGGACTCGCTCAGAATGCAGCCACAGCATTGTGCTGCAGACAAAACATTCATCTTCTCGCAGTGCTGTCGCCTTACGTATTTAAAGGCCCTCCCTTCTTGCTTTCTTCTGTCTGTGCCTCATATTTCTCTTTTTGCATTCTCTTTTCCTCATAGACACTTTTTCAGAGTGTGTGTTTTTTTCTCTTAAATTGAATTCTCCCTCTCGAAGGCAGCGGGGGTTTATCCCTCTGGGTTGCTGTGATAGACTTAGATGTAGCAGAGCACACGGTGCAACCCCGACGTGTCTCATTCACACTTCTTCCATTCACACTCAGTCAGTATCTGCACACCCTGCACACATCATCCACATGCAATCAGAACAGAGATCAAACAGTCTCACCTCCAGGGAGAAGTATGGATTTACACCTATCCGGCTTCCTGACCTGACAGTACTGCCTGTGTACTGCTTGTGTTCCTTCACGCTTCTCCAGTTAACCCTCTAAACTCAGACTTTGAACTTACAGATGCAGCAGATAGAAATCAGATAATCAGGTAAAAACTCTGGCGTATTCCTTTAAAGGGGAATTATAACGATTTCTTCAAACTTCAGTGGTTGAGATGTAGGGCTGGGCAATGTGATGATATTTAGTTATCATAAATTACATCACAGTATGTCACAAAATGCTTTTCTGTGTATATCATGAATATCGTCAGTATTCCTAAACCACTGGCCAGCTGCATGTTTGGTTAAAAAGAAAGTAATTCGTCCGGTTTTACTGGACTTAGAGCAGCTCAGTATGTTAAAGGTTTAAAGCTCACTGTATTTATAGTTTTGATAATAGTTTTTAAATGTGGCAGTACTTTGTCACTTCCAACTAATTAGATATTAGAATATTATAACAAATCATGCATCATGAAATCATATTTTTTTATCTCCCAGCTCTGTTGAGATGTAAACAAAGTCACTGAAAGACACGTCTTTAAACACATTCATGTGCACTTGAGTAATCAGATAATAGGAAAACACCAGGTCTACATGAGTCAGGCAATAATCAGATTTCTGCTTTGCAACCCACCTATAAACTCACAGAAGAAGAAGAAGAAGAAGAAGAAAAAGAAGAAGAAGAAGAAGAAGAAGAAGGACATGATGTAAAAAACCTTCATGCTGTGCTTTATATGTATATATATATATATATATATATATATATATATATATATATATATATATATCGAGTCACTTTACTGGCAAATATAAACATACATCGTCTAGAACAAGAGTTCACAATCTCATGGCCCACACAAATGACCACAGCTCACAAAAAGATTTTACAAAACTGACTGTCTTTTTTTTTCAACTAATGAGATGGCTGATCTTGTTTGGCACTTACCAAGTGCTGGATGTCAGGCTGAAGGGAGGAAAACTGGCACAGTTTGACAGCTCTATGTTTAGAAACATATTTATTCTATAAAGTGTACAGCACACAGCGGTAGCTGCTCATTTTCAGTTCTCATTATTATTAAACCATTTATCCATCATTTATGATGGATGAGTTCCCTAAGATTGAAAAGTGAAAACGTGAAACATTTTATATTGACATTTACACTGACCCCCAGGCAGTACCACCACAGCCCACAAATCATAGATCTAGAACATGAAGAATATTCTGCATTTCATTAAGCATGTAGCTGCTTTCAGCAGCGCTTCAAAGTGTTTTGTGTCTGCTTCATGGGAGCTGTGTTAAATGTTGCTTTCTGTTTCTGAAACAGCTCCACCCTCTGTTTGCACACATGCACAGACAAAGATAAATGAAAGAAATCAGAGTAAGGATATACATGCACTGAAAACCTTGTTTACTGAGCTAAAATCCAGTTCTTTATTAGATTTCTTGGTTTCTTGATCTCAGATAACGGCCTTAATCCAATCTAAATCCAGTAATCCAGTATCTAAATCCAGTAATGATCACATTATTGGTGTGCATGTAAGCAAGCTGAATAAGAGCAGTTTGCTGTGAAATGGTTTATCATAGAGAAACTTGTTGACCCAGATTTCTTTACAGTGATAATGGGAACCAGGTGTCTAGAGGCGTTTAATGTCTCTAAAAATGACCTCACAGAAAGTTATTATGTGAAATGGTTAGTAATATGATATATATATATATATATATATACATATATATATATATATATATATATATATACACACATATATATACATATATATATATGTGTAGCATCCCCTCTTCTTTTAACACGAATGTTGTTCCATTCTAGCTGCTCAACAGTCCTGGGTCTTCTTTGCTGGTTGTTTCATTTCATGATGTGCCAAATGTTCTCTATTGGTGAAAGGTCTGGACTGCAGGCAGGCCAGTTCAGCACCCAGACTCTTCTTCTGCGAAGCCATGCTGTTGTGATGGATGCAGTATGTGGTTCAGCATTGTCTTGTTGAAATATACAAGGCCTTCCCTGAAAGAGACGCTGTCTGGATGGGAACTTATGTTCTAAAACCTCATTATACTGTTCAGCATTTATAGTGCCTTTCCAGATGTGTAAGCTGCCCACACCGTAGGCACTAATGCAACCCCATACCATTAGAGATGCAGGCTTTTAAACTGTGTGCTCATAACCAGCTGGATGGTCCCTCTCCTCTGGAATCTGCAGGACATGGCGTACGTGGTTTCCAAAAAGAATTTTCAAATTTTGAGTCATCTGACCATAGAACAGTTTTCCATTTTTCCTCAGTCTATTTTAAATGAGCTTTGGCCCAGAGAAGACTGCAGCGTTTCTGGATCGTGTTGACAAATGGCTTCTTCTTTGCATGATACAGCATTAAGTTGCATTTGTGGATTGCACGGCAAATTGTGTTCACAGACAATGATTTCTGGAAGTGTTCCTAAGCTCATGTAGTGATTTCCAGTACAGAATCATGCCTGTTTTTAATGCAGTGTACGAGCATCCAATATTAACCGTCGGCCTTGTCCCTTGCATACAGGGATTTCTCCAGATTCTCTGAGACTTTTGATGATATTATGCAATGTAGATCTTTGCAATTTTATGTAAAGGAACATTTTTCTGAAATTGTTTCACAATTTTTAGACACAGTTATTCACAGATTGGTGAACTTCTGCCCATCTTTGCTTCTGAGAGACTCTGCCTCTCTAAAATACTCTTTTTATACCGAGTCATGTGAGTTAGTTGCAAATTGCTCCTCCAGCTGTTTTTTATTAGTACCACTTACTTTTCCAGCCTTTTGTTGCTCTTCTCCCTTTTTAACTTTTTTGAGTTGCGTTACTGCTACCAAGATCTAAACGAGTTAATATTTTTCATGAAATTATAAATTGTCTCACTTTCAACATCTGATATGTGTTCTGTGTTATGTTTTGAATAAAATATATGTCTATGAAATTTGCAAATCATTACATTCTGTTTTTATTTACATTTATTTTCATTTTACACAACGTCTCAACTTTTTTGGAATTGGTGTTGTGTGTCTTACTTTGTTTTATGTATTAGTTCACCTACAGAAGACACAGTGGATTAACAACAGATTTCTATCTCATATTTTTTTGTATTACAAAATGCCAGAACAACATTAGAAGTGTTTAATCTTTAATGTTCATGATAGAAAATAAACACATATCACCCCCAAAACCTCCATAAAGGGCTATATCCTACATTTTTTCTTGTATTTTATTGTTCACTTATATTGTTTATGTACAAAAAAAGAGAGATCATTTATTTTTAGATATCCATTTCCATTTCTTTTTTACTTAGAGTTAAAAGGGTTGTTTTTGTTACTTTGCCATTAAGACTAACCCATGTAACTAAACTCTGTTCTGATTGGTTGTCCTGAATTGTGCCTCATCAAAAAGCTGTGTAGGCTAAAACAGTCCTTATAACTTCAGTGTGAATGGGCAGGGCTAAACTGCTGTAAGCTGGCTGGGCAGATACACTACATGTTGAAACAGTTGTAGACACCTTGTTTAATTAGTGAACTGAGCTACTTCAAGGTGCACCCACTGCTGACACAGACGGTCAATAGCTGACACACTCCATAGAAAAGCATTACCAACAGAATGGGATGCTCAGGAGCAGCTGCACATGAGCCGAAGGTCACCATTCACAAAGTTTCGGCAAGAGATGAGAAGGTGTCTACAAACATTTGGATGAACAGTGGATATGTAAATGGGTTGTGTTCTGTGACATAACAGAAAGAAGGAATTCAAAATTGGCTGTTTGTGCAGCAAGATTTTATTCTAAGTCATTTAAACCATTGTTGTTACAAAATTTTGACACAATGCAAATGGCAGTGGCATTTTCCAATTCTGTATAAACAAACGACAAAAAGGAGATATAAGGTTTTGTTCTGGCAGCAGCAAAATGTTTCTGACATTTTATCAAAATAATTAAGCTAACAAAATAAAATGTTCAGAAGCTTATTCAGCTGCTACACTGGCTTTCTGTGGCCTTGTGGCCTTTTGTAGCAATGTGGAGTCTTTTCAGTAAAGCCTGATTCTGAATCAGCCTGTTCAAACATAACGCTTTCCTCCAAAACCACTGAGGCACGCACACACATTGGCAAGAGGGACTGCTTTAGAGCTGGACAGTAATGGCTGCTGTCCATTACAGAGCCCTCTGGGCCTCAGTTTCACCCCAACAGAGAGGAACGTGTGAGTGTGGTGATAAAGGGGTAATGAGAGGAGGACAGACTGCTGACACAAACCCATGAGGACGAAGAGAGTCCACTAAAACCATGCCCTATAGTTCACTATATATGTTGATCTGGTCACAAAGTGCCCTCCATTTATTTTCTCTTCAATGCTTCACTTTCATTCCTTTATATTTCCTGTGGAGGAGCATCAGAGTGCATTGATTGTCTAGTCATACAGCAGTGCTTTATTACTTCAAAAGATTGTACCACAGATAGCGAGCCCACTCAGCTGAATACATAGCAGGCAGAAGAATGGCAACCTCAGACACTCCAGCCTACAGAGGTACAGACCATCTGATATCTTTTGCAAGCAAAGCTGGCCACAACTAGCAGGATTTTGCCAGTTACATTCTGATAGGTGATGGACAGACCGATAGATGGACCCAAACAGTGCCACACACTACAGTACAGGCTTGATTGACTACCTGCTGCTCTGCTAACACAAGTATGGATGATAACTAATGTCTGAGAGAGCAAAAAATTGAGTGACTGGTGTCGGAGTAACAGTAAACCAGTGTCAAACCTGTTCTGTGGTGTTTAGGACTGCAGTGTTTTGGCTAAGCTAATGCTAGCATAGTTAGCAGGCCAAACATACCACACAGTACAGTCTAGATTCCAGCTCACTGATGCTGAATGACACCCATTCAGAGGATATCTGAGAAAGCAAAGTTGAGTGATTGGTGCTAGAGTGAAAGCCAAATTCAGATGGTGTGTTCTGTGGTGTGTGTAGCTCTTACCCATCACCTATCCTCTAAAATATAAATGTGTGGAATAGCTGTTCAGACTTAAATCGCTATTCCATACATTTATATTTTGACGCTTCATGATTTTGAAATACCGGCATCATTTTCAAATACTGTGTTATACCTTATTACCATTATACCGCTCAACTCTACCGTAAAACCATTTCTCCCTGACGACTCATTTTATGAAGTTGCTCTCTCTTTATTTCTTTTCTCCCTTTCCCTTTCTCAGGTCCTGGTGCATGTGGGTTTTCTGACAGAAGAATCTGGGGATGTGTTCAGTCCTAAAGTGCTGAAAGGAGGGCCGCTGGGGGAGATGGTGCAGTGGGCTGATATTCTTACAGCCCTTCATGTGCTGGGACACAACCTCAAGATTTCAGTCTCCGTCAAAGAGCTGCAGGGGTGAGTCCGCAGATACTGTAGCTTTCAGTAGCTGATACTGTGCCTATCTTTGTATGATTTACAGATGTATGAGCTTCCCTTCAACCCAGGCTCACTGGCTGAGGTGATTGGATGCTACACTCTAGCTGTAGTTGGACTGCAATCATTAAGAAACAGTGTGCCCTCAACATTTCTACACAAACACATAGCTAGATCAAACCACTGATGTGCATGTCAACAAACAAGTAACAATGATTGCACTTATGTGCTTATCACCATGGACAGCTCCTATACAGTTCTGGGCAGCCTCTATGCAGTTAGCACCATGGACAGCTTCTATGTAGTTGGCACCATAGACAGCTCCTTGGTGGTTCTAGACAGACTTTTTGTAGTTAGCACTATGGACAGCTCCTTTGTAGTTGTGGACAGCCTTTATGTAGTTGGCAACAAGGACAGCTCCTACATAGTTAGCACTATAGAGAGCTCCTTTGCGGTTCTGGACAGGGTTTATGTAGTTAGTACCATAGATGGCTCTTTTGTGGTTCTAAACAGCCTCTATGTAGTTGGCAACATGAACAGCTCCTATGTAGTTATGCATAGCCTTACGTAGTTAGAGCCAAGGGCAGCTTCTATGTACTTTTGGATTGCCCCTATGTAGTTGGCACCATGGACAGCTTCTACATGGTTAGAACTGTGGTGCTACGTATTTCGCACCATGTAGGGTCACTTAAGTCATTTAGGCATTCTAATTAAAGCATTCAGATTACTGAATAGCATGAGAGCATTCTATATTTGGATGACTTTAGAGTGCTCCTGACTTACAAAAATCTGCCTCACAACATGCAGTTGTAGTTATTAGTTGCTGATGTGCAGTCTCTAAATAAGTCTGGTTCCATGTAGCCTTTCTGTTCTATGTGGATCTTAAAACAGGTGCCCTATCGATTGGAGAAAAGATAAGATGCAACTGGCTGGAGTTAAAAGAGCAGAACCATCTGTTTCTGAGTAAAAGCTTTAAGAACACAGGGCCATGATCTGGTCTCATTCTCCGTCTCTCTTTTATCTCAGTTAAAAGTCTATTTTTCTTTCCCCTAACTGCTGGGTCAGAGTAAGATATCAAAGAAAAAGAGCTTTAGATGTGGTCTTTTTTCTGTGCTGGTGAAACGTCAAGCCCCCGAAAATAAAAGCCTAAACATGCCTTGAGAAATGTAAGCTTCTATTTGACATTTTGCTCAAAAGGTTTATAAAGGCAAGTATGATTTGGCTCATCTTCTATAGGCCTTATTTTTAGACAGAAAAAACTGAAACTGAAAACAAAGCCTGAGACGGTACTTTTCAGACATGACTTTGAAATTGTATGATCACTACATAAAGGTAGCATGAAAAGGAAGCACTTCGTTGGAGCAATGCAGTAGAAAATCACTTTTGGTTCCATGAAGAACCTTCAAATGATAATCCTTTTGAAAATGAGATGAGTGACTGTGAAGAGAACAGCTATAAGGCAGACACAAAAAAGTGTCTATTTCTACAATTTAACCTGCTGTTCTCACTTAATAACGAGACGATGTTGCACTTATTTGAGATGTAAAGAACTGACCTGACCTGATTTAAATTTTTGAGTCACAGTTCACCCTTCTGAACAAGAAAAAACATGAATAGGAACATAAGTCACATTTCAGTTACATTTAATCATCACTCTGAAATAAAGAAATCAATAATAAACACTTACTTATCCTAAATGAGCTTGAATGTTTGCTTTGAAAAAAGGAAAAAAATAACTGTATACCAACAATAAATGAAGTATGCATCTTTTATATAGTTAAACAAGGAGCCATCACCAATGTTTTTGAATGTATCACAGGCAAGACACACAGTTCTACATTGTTAAAAACAGTGATTCTCAAACCCGTCCTCAGGATCCCCCAAACGGTTCACATTTTTGCTTTATCCTTATGCATTGCCACTTAAGTTGTGGACAATCTATGGGCCCTGAGGTCTCAGTTTGAGCATCACTGGCTTAAAGAACCTCAACACAATATAAAGGTTCTTTACCAATTTAAGGCTTTTTCTAGATTCATACATGCAAGCCAAAAACCATTGTGCAGGCCCAGTCTACATTAACGAAATGATAGAATACATTGCTGTGCAGATTTAATGAAGAACAGATCTCATTGGCTTTTGTCACGAGCAGGAAAAATGATGTATTCATCATTTTTATGAGCTCATTTCTTTAAATTGGGCTGTAAAACGATGACACCAAATACCTGTAATTTTTTTTCATAGGCTCACAGCTCCTTTCTCCCTCCATCACTCTGCTTCTACACCGTCTGCTCATCAGCAGATCATTACGTAGGCTGCTTCTTCTGTATGCTAGGGAACCATCTGTTTAGATTAGAATCTTCCTCTCATCTTGGCTCATATGAAGACAGCAAGCCCAGGAAAGCATGTCCTGATCATAGCTTCTGTCTGTACAGATTCAACTCAGTACTCTGCTCTTGCTCGCAACCGCATCCACTTCGTCCTCTGATAATTCCTCTCCATATTCCACCTCTCTGATTGCCTCTAATTTCTCCCTCTCACACCTCCATACTCCACACTCCTCTGGGGGCTCCCTCCTTCTTTTCCTCCGTAGGGAGCAGACAGGTGCATCGCGCAGCTGCTTATTCAGACAGACTCTCCAGCTGAACTTCTCTCCCTCTAAGTCCATGCAGGAATGAATGTACAGACTGGTGACAAATTCATGGAAAAACCAACAAAGGTGTCATAGTAAGGTCATAGTTTCAGTGTGTCTCGATGTTGTTTCTACAAGTCTCTGGAACTTTCCTAGAGAGATGGAAAACCATTCTTTTAAAAGATATTCTCGCAGGTGGTGTTTTGACGCTGGTTGTGTGCAACATACTCTCTGGTATTTGGGGGGGGGTCCCATGTTGACTGGCTGCTAACCTACTTGCTATAGTGGCACAAATCAAATCACATTTATTGTCACATCACATTTACACAGGTGCGAAGCTGAGTGAAAATCTTAGGTGCGTAGCCCCCTTGAAGAACTTAAATATACTAAAAAACTGACACCCCAGTGTTCCCAGTACAATTCTCCCTCCTTTAAAACAGTTTACTCCATCTGTCAGTCTAAGAATACGACCTATACAGATCTGAATATTTATTTATCAATCAATATTTACTTTTCTACTCACAAATTTAAGCATAGCGCCTGAAAAATGATAAATAATACTGTTATTAATTTTATCAGCTGCATCAGGCCCAACTGTCTCCCACAGATTTTCAAATATAAAATACTATTTAAACTCCAGTTTGCCCAACTAATAAACATTTTAAATTAATCATTTGATTAATTATTATCAGTAGTCAATGTCAATCCATTGCTTTCCATTTTACATTAGCCCAGAGTTGTAACTGAACCTTGACTGAGAGACTGTCATTGTCCTGTTTTAATATGATGTACGTCTGTGAGAACTGTGCCATCATGCCCGTATACTGTCTGCACTGGACTGGTCTCCACAGAGGCTGCTTCTGCAAAGCACGAGTTTCATTCTGTGGATGCATATAGCAACACATGTTTACGTGTGACGCGGTCATCTTTTCTGAGCTGGAAAAAAAACCTCAACACCTCTGACTTTTAAACTGTTATTTCAGTCTTAACTAGGTGAATCACAGCCGTGCACTTACACTATTACTAATTTCTCCTGAATTTAAATTTTGCATAGTGCTGCTTTAAGGTAAGGGAAAAATCAAGGTGATCTTATTGGACAACTGCAAAGCCTCTACAGTGGACCATCAAAAACCTTAAATACATAACTTATGAATACGTCCTAAGACGAAACATCCTGCAGAAACTCAGCATCACCCTCCAAACCACTAGTTCAGCAGGCTGCAAGCTATCGGCTCCCATGCAGAGTCCAAAGATGAGTCAGAGCTCTGGAAAAAAAACACAGCATGAAAACACTGATGGCGTGCCTCTAATCTGAATAGCTTCAAGTTATTAAATGCTCGCCTGCTGAGAGTGGGTGGCTTGTTTTTTGTTGTTTTTTTTTCTTTTTTTTAAGTCTTGTCTGTTTGTCTTTGTGAGGGACTTCAGTATTCCGCAGATAGTGTCTTCTGTTACATGAAGCATCACGTTCACACGCACAGCCCACACAAAGGAGAAGCTGGCGATGTGAGTGTTGTTAACACACTCCATAAAAGGAAGTGACAATGATGTGTCCATTGAGAAAAGATTTTTTTTTTGAGAAGAGAGAGAGAGAGAGAGAGAGAGAGAGAGAGAGAGAGAGACAGTGAAAGAATTGTAGTGTGGGGTCCACGCAAGTCAAGAGTGAAAATAAGTTAACACATCCTCTACAGGGAACAAACTTAACTTTGGAAAAAAACATTTTTTGGAAAAAAAAGCTGGAAAATGAAAAAAAATATATATATTTGCTCATATCTCCAAAATGATAACTTTACAGGAGAAAGAAAAAACCTACTTTACTTTTAATGTAAGTCAATGGAACCAGACATTTTTCTATGTAATTTTGGGTCATTTCTTTTGGTCCATTCATATCATGAAATTTATATATATATATGTATGTATGTATATATATATATATATATATATATATATATATATATATATATATATATATATAGCTGGGAGATGTCATTGGTGCTAAGAAGATAACAGCATGAACAGCAATGAGTGTGTTGTTGCGATAAAAGTTTGAAAAGAAATGAGAAACTTGCAATTGACTTGCAATCCTTTTCAAACTGTGCTGTAATGTCAGCTAAAGTTTGCTTATATAGATAGCAGCTCAAATACTAGACAAGCTAATTAGTTCACCTGGGTGGGCTGAAGTTGATTTCTTTTTTTAAATTTTTTCATTCCACTTTAAATTGTGTGACAGAATGCAGGCACCTGAATGTAACTGCTGCACCAGTTAAAATTGGAACATAAAATTCAAATGAGAAACCCATCAGCTTTATCTTATTTTGGCATCAGTAAGCCAGGCAAGCTAAGTGTCATTCTACGA